GTGTGTGTGTGTGTGTGTGTGTGTGTGTGTGTGTGTGTGTGTGTGTGTGTGTGTGTGTGTAAGAGAGAGAGAGAGAGAGAGACAGAGAAAATTAATAAATGAACAAAATTAAAATATACAAATAGTATCATGAACACATTTTTTTAAATGTGTTCCGTAATGTCACATATACTAATTATTATACAGGTATAAAAACGTGTAAAAATAACACATGTAGAAGAACTATATAGTAAAACACGTAGATACATTTCAGCTATTGCATACAGATGTATGATAGGCTATCCACACACACAAACTCACTAATCTCTATTAATTAATAACTTCCAAATATACGTGGTAGTTCGTAAAATGATAAAAGACTTGCTTGTGTCAGTTTGTCTTAATGTGAACAAGAGCACAAAGTCAATTATATTTACCGTTACATTCTGCACCGTATCCCGCGCACTCACACACTCATTCGTTGATCTTGTTTAATTAACTCATAGTTTTACTCATAGTTATTCGCGATTAAGTAGAGAAATATTTTGTCCAGTTCGATCTAATCTTACCCTGTACATATATTAAATGAAACATCTTTAGACGAAGTAATAAATGATTACGGACTTAAAATTATTAACTACAGATGTATATGGCGATGAACCTGAACCTATCGTGGGTGGAAATATGGCTTCACAAGGACAATTTCCACATCAAGTCTCCCTTCAGGAAAACGGCTACCATAATTGCGGGGGATCTATTATTAGCGACAGACATATCGTTACTGCTGCTCATTGCATATCTCAAAATAGTGCGAGAACCATGGTACGTAAGTAACAGTAGCTAGTAAGAATAATTCGTTCGATTTATTGGTTTTTTCTTACATACAAATTATAAGTGTGGCATAGAAAAATTAGATATGTGGTAGCTCTTATTTTTAGCATTTTGTATCGACATTTTGTAATTAACTGTGCTACTTGTATTTATTTCAACAAAAATATTTGTTACGCAGACAGTTGTGACTGGAACAAATAATCTACAAAATGGTGGTCAAGTACATCGAGTCAAGTGTATTCAAGTGCATGAAGGATATATCCCGAATATCTTTGCGAACGATATCGCTTTGATCACTGTAAGCATAATTCTCAGTTCTCCTGAAATGCGTACAGGGATGTGATGCTTGTAGAACAATTTGGAACACTTTTTTTTCTTCTAGTTGGCACAACCGATGACCTTCCACGGTCTACAAAGGCCAATTTCTCTAGCGAGTGCAGATTATGCCACTGGCCAAACTCATTGTATGATAAGCGGATGGGGAAGGCTCGGCGCAAATGCAAATATGCCGACAATGCTTCAGTACGTCGATACGATGGCGCTGACCCGTAACGATTGTGTAAGAGCGCATCCACGCACTACTGCTAAACAGATATGTACCTTTAACAGCTATGGAAAAGGTGCCTGCATGGTGAGTATCTTACCTTATCTTATGCATAACACATCTAAAAGTGACTTTTTATACAAATATACGTACACGTATCCTCATCGAGAATAAGAAACGAGTTGAAACAATCACTAATTAAAAATGTATAATTTCTTAGGGTGACAGCGGCGGTCCTCTCATTTGTAATGGTCAACTTGTTGGTGTCGTGTCCTTTGGCAGACCCTGTGCTGTGGGTGTACCCGACGTATTTACTAATGTTGCCTATTATAGAGATTGGATTCAGCAACGTCAACAGATGTGCTGATTATTCGAATAATCACAGTCGACCGGAGATCTATATTTCAGACATTATCTAGAATTTTTAGTTGCAGCGTGTGAAACGCGTTGCTAACGTTATTAATATGTAGAAATAGAAATCATATAGAAGCATAAAGTAAACAATAAAAAAATATTATTTGAAATAAATTTTGTACTTATTGCTCTTCCCGCCACAAAAACTTTTTTTATGAGACTGATAATTAAAATAGAGCTGTGTACAGAAAAAAATTATAATAAAAATTGCAACAAACTTTTGGAACTATATGGAGAATGACTGTTATATATTTACTTAAAAGTATTATGCAGAGATATATATTGTAGAGACGTCTTATTACAAAATTGTCGTAACTACTTAAATGTTTTTGTTATTGTTAAAATAGTCCAAATATTATCACGGTAATGATAAAATATTATAATTTATGTGTAATTACATTTATTGTCATATCAGAAAGAGAATTTTATAATTTTTGAATAGTGGCATTTATCATTTGTGGAGTACTATGTTGTGATACGTATATAACAATAAGCCTAAACATTATAAATATAAATTTTACGATATGGTGAATTAGAGACTACCAGTATTATTCTTTTATACTTATTTATAATATTATAATATTATTAATAAATTTATAATATTATAATATTATTAATAAATTTATAATATTATAATATTATTAATAAATTTATAAATTTATAATATTGTATGACTTCATTTAAAATATATACGTCCAACATTACAATACTCGTATGGTAATATTTCCATTAGTAGTTTAGATTCCATTAGTAGTTTTATAGAAATTTTACGTCATTTGTCACTTGTTCTCTTATTTCACAACTGTCTTGCTCTTTCTCGAAGTCGAGTTTTAGCTACCACGTTATATAAATAGCACGTGCAACAAATCTAGAAAATTAATTAAATAATTGCCTCTGAAATTAAACTAAAATAATAATATGCACATGTAAATCCTTAACATAAAAAATCTTTCGTTTTTGTCTATTAAAACGTAGAACGTTTTCGCAACTCAAAGTTCTGTTAGATGATATTGCGAAAGATGAACGGACTCATATGTGCCGCACTTTAATGACCATTTATTGCTTGTAGATTTTTAGTTATTAATTAAAGAACATTAGTATATTGTCGCAAGCGACCATCCAATAATTTTTTTTGAATTAATAATTAAAGAAGCAGAATCATAATAATGGTATCCAAAAAACGGTATAGGACTTTTATGTTTCAGTTTCTACTTTTTTTTCAGTTTCGGAACTTGTTCCAGGACAGCTAGTACATAGTACACAGTACACGCAATCCGATTCCAGAAAATGATTAAATAATTATCCTTTTCTAAGCGACACATGTGTAGATCCAAACTTTTAAAAAGCGTGAATGATACCTGTAATGGTAAGTTCTATTACAATTTCGTTGAAGAGAGCGTCACATGTTTGTCACTCGTCCTCGGAAATTCTACAATTCGAGATTAGGGATTTTCACAACTTTGTTGATAATTGAGATTCAGAGAAGATAAACGCGCTAAAATCACATACAACGTGCTGTTTTTAACAGTTTATTGCTTAGACACAAGATTGTTTAAGGGATCGAAAGGTCAATTCCGTAATTGCCTGACCGACGGGCCGCTCTCCGAACTCAGACATCCCAACAACTTCCTTTTACCAATTTGCAACGTACAGACTTCAGCCTACAAGGCTTTTTATGTTCGAACAACGAATGCTCGAAATTTTACTATCGATAGTTGCCATATGTCGACAATTTTACTCTGAATCAGTAGTTACCCCAGCAAAAAAAAAACAGTAACGAACGAGCTATCGCTTAAATCCTCCTATAGAAGGGCTTGCAGAGATCATGGAAATCCTTCGGAATTGTACTTGTAGGCTTCGATATGTTGTGGAATTGATTGAAGGCAACATCAGTAGGTCGTGTTCCTGTCTTTCCATGGTTTTCCTGTTCCATCGCAGTAACCCAGACGTTTTACTCCAGCGGCAAGAAACAACATTTTTCAACAATTATGTTATAATTAACTTATAATAAAGTATATTTTTTTAGAAGCATTACACACGCAACACACACACATACTTAATGGGTTCAAAAATGATATTTTATATATGTGACAGTGGTAAATATGAATTTGATTTGTTCTTATATATAAGTTTATAAATCTCTACATATTATCGAACAGAAGTAAGCAAAGAATGAGCATATTAAATTTATGATGATATTATATTCTCTTTTAGACATCATGTGTGAAAGTCAGCCTATAATAGAGTGTCATACACATTTTAATCTAACATTAATATTAACATAGATAATAGGACAGAAATAACTTTATATTTTATGCATAAAATATAATTTTATTAATTAATGTGCTATTTTCATTCTCTTTTTCGACAAAATAAAATAATTTGTGCAAATAAATGTTAAACTACTCCACATTTAATGTAGAATTAAAGTAGATATGTATAACTATATATGATTCAGCTAACAACAGAAAAGAAGTATCTGATAAATAATGGGATTACAGATGTGTCCTTCACTCCACCACCGTCACTGCACCAAACAAATCTAAGGTCTGCAATCGTTACTAACAACTCAATAGATAAAGTAAATAATGTGAGTTCAGTATAATACGGTGGTAAATAGAGCCAGCTGTTATACAAGGTTAAGCATAGATATTGGGTATAAAAAAGAACGCTGAGTAGTCTACGTATCTAGTTTCCAATTTGTTCTGGATCTGGCTACCGAATTACGACCATCGAGATGACAAAGTTAACAATTCTGCTGGTTGTCAGCATTATCGCTAGTAAGTAACCAAAATTCAATAATAAAAAGTTAAAAACTTATATTCAAGTAATGCATAATTAGCGCATACTAATGTTACTTACTATACGAAATACTAAATGAGAGTGTGAGGGAAAGGAAACATTAATAAATGAAAGAAATTAAAATATGTAAATAATATGACGTATACATTTTTTAAAATATTTGTTTATGTTACATGCATTAATTATTATATATGTGTAAAAATGTGTAAAAATGACACATATAGAAGAATTATATAGCAAAATACGTAGATATCTTTCAGCTATTACATACAGGTGACTGATACAAGGCTACCAAAATTCACTAATCTCTATTAATTATTAACTTAAAAATCTATATGGTTATTCGTAAAATAGTAAAGAATTTTTTGTGTCAGTTTGTCTTAATATGTTCAAGAGCACAACACAAATCGTACTTACCGTCAGATTCTGCAATGTATCCCGCGCATTCACACACTCATTCGACCTCCTTTAATTAATAATTCAAAGTTTTACGTGGTTGTTCACAACTAACAAGTAACACTACCCAAGTACTACACGCCGATCTTCTTGAAACTTTGCACACATGTAGTATACCGAAAAACATTAGACACGTATTTTTTTATTTTGGCTAACAAAGCATTTTAAGGTTAGAAAACGCATTCGAAAATTTAACACTCTATAACACAATGATAACTAACACTACTCCTGAACGTCATTCTTTTACATATTTTCATCCGCCCCCTCTAAATTGATATAACTGATGCCAAAATCGTAATCATGGTTCTAAAAAACTTCTTCGAAACTGACTTTGAATAAAGTCTTTGAAGTGTCTGCGATTTCGGTCCGCCATTTTGAATCTCGCAAAACTAATGTCAAAATCATAATTAGCGACTTCAGAAACATTCAGACAATGAAATTATAATAGAGTAATGTCGTAAAAGCTATAAAAGAATGACGCTCAAGAGTAGTTATTATCATGGTGCTATAGAGTGTTAAATTTTCGAAAGCGTTTTCTAACCTTAAAATGCCTTGTTAGCCAAAATAAAAAATACGTGTCTACTGTTTTTCGATGTACTACATATGTGCAAAGTTTCAAGAAGATCGGCGTGTGGCACTTGGGTAGTGTTACTTGTAAGTAGAGAAATATGTTGTGTAATTTGATCTAATCTTACTCTGTATATTAAGTGAACATCTTTAAGCGAAGTAATAAATAATTGCGAACTTAAAATTATTAACTACAGAGGTATACGGTGATGAACCTGAACCTATCGTGGGTGGCAACGTGGCATCGCCTGGACAATTTAAACATCAAATCTCCCTTCGGCAAGATGGCAACCATATTTGCGGAGGAACTATTATTAGCGACAGACATATTGTCACTGCTGCTCATTGTATACCGTCTGCAAAACAATGGAAATCCTTGGTACGTAAATAATAGTAGTCAGTGATAACGATTTGTTCGATTATTGATTTTTTTTTTGCATATTATAAATATGGCATAGAAAAGCTAGAGACGCGATAGTATTTATTCTCAGCGCTTTCTATCGTCATTTTGTCAATTGACTGTGCTACTGCTATTTAATTCAACAAAAATATTTGTTACGCAGACCATTCGAACCGGAACAAACAATGTAAAAAGTGGTGGTCAAATACACCAAATTAAGTGCATTCAAGTGCATTCAGGATTCAACATGAATACCCTTAAGGATGATATCGCTGTGATCGCTGTAAGCATAATTCTCAGTTTTCCTGTAGGGCGTATGGGAATATGATGCTTGTGCAACAATTTAAAACGCTTTTTTTTTTCGTAGGTAACAAAACCGATGAGCTTCAACAATTATCAAGCTCCAATTCCTCTGGCGAGTATGGATTATGCCAATGGCCAAAATCGTGCTATAGTAAGTGGATGGGGACAGCTCGGTAAAAATCAAGGCATGCCAACGATGCTTCAATATGTCAATGTGAGGATGCTGAGCGCTAATGAGTGCCGAAAGGCGCATTCAGACACTAATTATAAACAGATATGTACTTTTAACAGCTATGGGAAAGGTTCCTGCATGGTGAGTGTCTTATGTATATTATATCTGAAAGTGACTTTTTAGATACGTAAGCGTATCCTCATTGGGAATAAGAAACGAATTGATAGAATCACTAACTAAAAATATACAATTTCTTAGGGTGACAGCGGCGGTCCTCTTATTTCCAATGATCAATTTGTTGGTGTTGTGTCCTGGGGCATTCCTTGTGCTGTGGGTCAACCTGATGTATTCACTAGTGTCTACTATTATCGGGACTGGATTAAACAATGCCAACAGAAGTGCTGATTATTCGAATAATCATAGTCGACAGACAATCTATATTTCAAACATTGTACAGAATTTTCAGTTACAGCATGTAAATCGCGTTGCTAACGTCATATTAATAAGTTCTATAGAAATTATATGAAGACATAAAGTAAACAATAAAAATATTATTCTAAATAAATTTTGTACGTATTTCTCTTTCCAACATAAAATATTTTATGAAATCGATAACTAATTTAAAGCTATGTACGGGGAAAATTGTTATAATAAAAATGACAACCAAATTTCTGAACTCGTATGGAAAGTATGATTAAAATTATTATCTACTTGAAAAGTAGATAATAATAATAATCTTATTATTTACTTGAAAATATTATGCACTCTAGACATCTTATTACAAAATTGTTGTAATTATTTAAGTGCTCTCTTCATTGTTAAAATAGCTTAAATATTACCAAAATAAAGAAGAAATATTATAATTTGTGTGCAATTATATTTATTATAATTTTACATCAAAATATTTATCATATTTTTACAAAAAACAATTTTGTAATTTTTGTGCAATTATATTTATTGGTGCAATTATATTTATTGGTGATATGAGTAGTATGTTATGATATAATGCATTGAGGATTATGCAAGTATTATTATTTATTCTTATAATTTTCAAAATTGTATGACTTTATTTAAAATACACACGTCAAATATTACAATACTTGTATGGTAATGTTCATAGATTCGAAACTTCACGTCGTTTATTGCTGGTTCCCTTATTTCACAATTGTTTTTGATGCTTCTTTCTCGAAGTTTTAACTGTTGCGTTAAATATAAATAGCACGCACAATAAATCTAAAAAATTAATTAAATAATTTCCTCTGAAATCGAACTCAAATAGTAATACAGAAGTGTAAATTCCTAACACAAGGAATCTTTCGTCTTTTCTTCTATTAGAATGTTTTTGTGACTTTATGGACAAGCATTGTAAAAGATGAACGGATTCATGTGCATCGCGCTGTCTTTAATGACCATTTATTGTTTACAAGCAATATGTTCAAAGAGTCTAGCTGTCAATCCTGCAATTGTCTGGAACGCTGTCGAAACTCAAACACTATTACGGAGAAAACTAAAGATGTCACTTGCCTAAATATAGTTACCACAACAAAATATTTTTATCATTCTTCGCCCGTGCATACAAGACGAATCTAGTAAGCGTAGCATTCTGATAATGGATAAAAACGTGCCTATAAGAACTGTATATATGGACGTATAGCAACATCCGGGAACTTCTACTATATCTGAGTAAATTTGAAATCATATAAAGTTGTTCTCTAAATATAGAACATGTAAATTTAATAATTACAGCAGTTTTCTCCGTGTACAATGACTTCCTTTTACAAGCTTCCAACGTACAGGATGCAGTTTACATGTTCTCGGCACATATGATAGATGTTCAAGATTTAAAACGTGAGCAGAAACGTGGGTGGCTGGGAACAGTTTGTATAATATATCAATTCTTTCTTAAAGTATTTAGATTTCATGTTTACGGGGATAATCTTATTATAGTAACAAACATTTTCTCACTGCTGCTCATCGTGTTAAGGATGAAAATGAATATATTATTTAGTGTATGTGCAGAACATTTGCTACAATTCCCCGGATTAATGATTTTTCTCGCATAAACGCAAAAAAAATTGGTCGTATCAATTCAATATCTGCTGAGATATACGAACGAATGAGAATTCTGGTTGAAGTTATTAGAATTCTGTTCAAGTTAACAAGATTTCTGGTGAACCAGACAAAGTTTCTAGGTAATCAGAACTATTACTATGATCACTGTAAGCTTAACTTCAGTTCTACTTAAGTGTATACAAAGATATAATGCGTGCACAAAAATCTGAAATATATTTTCTTCTAGTTAGAAACGGCAATCACGAAAAATACATGCCATACACATTTTAATCTAACATTAATATTACCATAGATAATAGAAAAATAACTTTATATTTTATGCATAAAATATAATTTTATTAATTAATGTGCATTTTTCATTTTCTTCTTCGACAAAATGAAATAATTTGTGCGAATAAATGTTAAAATTCTCCACATTTAATGTAGAATTAAAATAGATATGTATGACTATATGACATTTCAGCTATCGACAAGAAAGAAATATATGATAAATTATGAGATTATAAATGTGTTTTCCGTCCATCCACTGATCATATATTGGGTCCAATATAAGGTCCATCAACGTTATTAACAACTCAATAGATAAAGTAATTAATCTGTATACAGTGTAATATGGGAGTAAATAATGGCAGCTGTTACACAAGGTCAAGATTACACAAGCACAAGGAAATAAAAAGGAACGCTGAGTGATCTCTGTATCCAGTTTGCAAGTTGTGGACGTGGTAACCGTATTACGACAATTGAAATAATGAAGTTAGCAATTTTGCTGGTTGTCGGCGTTATCGCCAGTAAGTAACAAAAACTTGATAATAAAAAAATCAAAAACTTACATCCAAGCAATGTATAATTAGCGTATGCCAATATTGCTTATTGTACAAAATAGTAAATTAGAGAGTATGGAGGAAAAGAATCAATAAAAGAAAGAAATTATAATATACAAATAGTATCATATGAACACATTTTTCAAAAATATTTTTCTGTAGTGTTACATGAATTAATTATTATATGTGTGAAAAAATGTGGAAAAATATGGAAGGATTATATAATAGAATACGTAGATATGTTTCAGCTGTTACAGGTGTGTGACATAAGGCTGGCCAAATTCACTAATTTCTTTTAATTAATAACTTAACAATCTACGTGGCTGTTCGCAAAATGATAAAGGACTTTCTTGTGTCAATTTGTCTTAATGTGTACAAGAGCATAACACAAATTATATTTATCGTCACATTCTGCATCGTATCCCGCGCACTCACACACTCAGCCATCGATCTTCTTTACTTAAAAACTCATAGTGTTATATAGTTATTCGCAACTAACTAGATAAACTTTTTGTCTAGTTTGATTTAATCTTACTCCGTACACTAAGTAAAACCTCTTTAGACGAAATAATAAATAATTAACGGACGAAATAATAAATAATAAACGGACTTAAAATTATTAATTACAGAGGTATACGGCGATGAACCTGAACCTATCGTGGGTGGTTACGTGGCATCGCCTGGACAATTTCCATATCAAGTCTCCATTCGGGAAGCTGACTATCATATTTGCGGAGGAAGTATTATTGACAAGAGACATGTCCTCACTGCTGCTCATTGCATATCGTCCCCAAATATCGCGCGATACTTGGTACGTAAATAGAAGTAGGTAGTAAAAACAATTCGTCAGATTATTGGTGTTTTTGCTTACATACATATTATAAATATAGCATATAAAAAATAAAGGCGATAATTTTTATTTTTAGCGCCTTTTATCGTCATTTTCTAATTTACTGTGCTACTTCCATTTAATTCAACAAACATATTCGTTACGCAGACTATTCTAGCCGGAACAATCAATGTAGATGGTAGTGGTGGTAAAGTATACCAAGTCCAGAGCATTCAAGTGCACCCACAGTACGACCCATGGAATCAAAATGCGAACGATATCGCTGTGCTCCGTGTAAGTATAGTTCTCAGTTCTCTTAAAGTACGTATGGAAATATGACGTGTACACGACAATCTGGAATACTTTTTTCTTCTAGATGGTTACACCGTTTCAAATCGACGATCTACAAAGTCCAATTTCTCTAGCAAGTGAAGATTATGCCAATAGCCAAGCTCTTTGTACAGTAAGCGGATGGGGACAGCTCGGCGCAAATGCACCTGCGCCGTCACTGCTTCAGTATGTCGACATGACCGCGCTAAGCCATAGTAATTGCCGAAAAGCGCATCCAGGCGTTACTTTTAAACAGATGTGTACCTTTAACAGCTATGGAAAAGGTGCATGCATGGTGAGTGTCTTACTTTATCTTTTGCATAATGCATCTAAAAGTGACTTTTTATAAGTATGCGTATCCTTATTGGAAATAAGAAACGAGTGTAAAAATCACTAATTAAAAATATACAATTTCTTAGGGTGACAGCGGTGGTCCTCTCGTTTGCAACGGTAAACTTGCTGGTGTTGTCTCTTGGGGCAAACCTTGTGCTGTGGGTCAACCTGACGTATTCACTAATGTTGTCCATTATCAGGACTGGATTAATCAATGTCTACGCTCGTACTGATCATTTGAATAATCGCAGTCGACCGACGATCTACATTTCAGACATGATTCAGAATTTTCAGTTACAGCATGTGAAACGCATTGCTAACACTATTAATATATAGAAATTGAAATGATATGTAAGCATAAAGAAAAGAATAAAAAAATATTATTCCAAATATATAAATTTTATACATATTTCTCTTCCCGACATAAATTTTTTTTATGAGACCAATAATTAATCTAAATCTGTATACGAAAAAAAATTGTTGTAATAAAAATTACAACAAAAGTTTTGAAACCATATGAAAATATAATTGATGTTATTATATATTTACTTAAAAATATTATGCATTCTAGATATTCCATTTCAAAACTTATGTAGTTCCTCTTGAGTGCTTTTTCATTGTTAAAATAGGTCAAATATTATCATAATAAAAAAAATATTATAATTTTTACATTTATTATATTTGCACATCAAAAAGAAAATTTTGTAATTTTTGTGTAATTGTATTTATTGTTGGTATGAGTAGTATATTGTGTTACGTATATAACATAAAGTTAAAATAATACAAATATAAATTTTATGGTGTAGTGCATTGGAAATTACGAGTATTATTTTTCATCCGTAGAATTTTCAATATTTTATGACTTCATTTAAAATATACACGTCAAATATTACAATGCTTATATGGTAATATTCATAAATTCGAAATTTTACATCGTTTATCGCTAGTTTTCTTATTTCACTTTTTTCATATTTTAATACTTCTTTTTTGAAGTCGAGTTACATAAATAGAACGCACAATAAATCTAAAAAAATAATTAAATAAATTCATCTGAAATCGTGCTAAAATAATAATACGCATGTGTGAATTCCTAATACAAGGAATCTTTCGTCCTTTTGTTCATTGAAATGTAGAATATTCCCGCGACTCAAAGTTCTGTAGACGATAGACGAGCATCTTTTCGATAGACGAGCATCGCAAAAGATGGACGAACTGATATGCACCGCACTGTTTTTAATGACAGCTTATTGGTTGTAATAATGTTCAAAGGGTCTAGCCGTACTGGATGGTTCGCTCTCAGAAGTCAAACACTATCATGGAAAAAATTAAAAATGTCACTTACCTAAATATATTTGCCACAACAAAATATTTTTATTATTCCTCGCACGTGCATACAAGAAGACTCTAGAAAGCGTAGCATTCTGATAGTCGATAAAAATGTGCCTATAAGAATTGTATATATGGATGTATAGCAACATCAACTTCTAATGTCATATCTGAGTAAATTTAAAATCATATAAAGTTGTTCTCTAAATTCTCTAAACATATAAATTTAACAACCACGGCAGTGATTGAATAAATAATACAATTGCACAAAAATTACACAATTTCCTTTTATAAAAATATAATAAATATTTTTATGTAAAAATATAATGAATATAATTGCACACAAATTATAATATTTCTTCTTTATTTTAATAATATTTGAATTATTTTAACAATGACAAAAGCAGTCAAGTAATTATGACAATTTTGTAATAAGATGTCCAGAGTGCATGATTTTTCGAAGTAAATATATAACAATTTTAATCATATTTTCCATATGGGTTCAAAATTTTGGGTGTAATTTTTATCATAACAACTTTCCTCGTACATAGTTTTAGATTAGTTTTCAACGACTTCCTTTTACTAGCTTCCAACGTATAGAATGCAACTTATATGCTCTATGCACACATATGATGAATGTTCACGATTTTGCAGACAGAAACGTGGATGGCAACGACGTCGGGAACGGTCAGTTTGTATAATGTATCAAGTCTTTCTTCAAGTATTTAGATTTGATGTTTACGAGAATAGCCTTATTATAGTAACAAACATTTTCTCACTGCTGCTCATCGTGTTAAGGATAAAAATGGATATATTACGGGCAGAACAGTTGCTACAATTCCCCGAATTAATAATTTTTCTTGTACACACGCAAAAAAATTTGTCGTATCAATTCAATATCTATTGAGATGTATGAACGAATAAGAATTCTGGTTGAAGTTATCAGAATTCTGCCTAAATTAACAAGATTTCTGGTGAACCAGACAAAGTCTATAGATAATCAGAATTATTACTGTGATCACTGTAAGTTTAATTTCAGTTCTACTTAAGTGTATAGAATTAAAGTGTATAGAATTAAAGATATAATGCATGCGCGACAATCTGAAATACATTTTCTTCTAGTTGGAAACGACAATCACGAAAAATACATGCCATACACATTTTAAACATTAATATTACCATAGATAATAGAAAAATAGCTTTATATTTTATGCATAAAATATAATTCCATTAATTAATATACATTTTTCACTCTCTTTTTCGACAAAATGAAATAACTTGTGTGAATAAATGTTAAAATTTTCCACATTTAATGTAGAATTAAAATAGATATGTATGACGATATGACATTTCAGCTATCGATAGGAAAGAAATATATGATAAATTATGAAATTACAAATGTGCTCTTCTCTTGACCGTCGATCCACTGAACAAATATAAGGTCGACCAACGTCATTAATAACTCAATAGATAAAGTAATTAATGAGTGTACAGAGTAATACGGGGGTAAATAGTGGCAGCTGTTACACAAGGTCAAGATTATACAAGCACAAGGATATAAAAAGGAACGTGAGAAGTCTACGTAGTAGTTCTCGAGTTTGCAAGTTGTGGACGTGGAATTACGACTATCGAAATAATGAAATTAACAATTTTACTGGTTGTCGGCGTTATCGCCAGTAAGTAACGAAAACTCGATAATAAAAAATCAAAAACTTACATCCAAGCAATGCATAATTAGCGTATGTTAATATTGCTTCTTGTACGAAATAGTAAATCAGAGAGTATGAGAGAAAAAGAATTAATAAGTGAAAGAAGTTAAAATATACAAATAGTATCATGAATACATTTTTTTTAAATATTTTCCTGTAGTGTTACAAGTATTAATTATTATATATGTGTAAAAATGTGGATAAATAACATGTAGAAGAATTATATAGCAGAATACGTAGATACGTTTGAGCTATTACATACAAGTGTCTGACATAAGGTTGGCCAAATTCACTAATCTCTTTTAATTAATAACTTAACAATCTACGTGGCTTCGTAAAATGACAATGGACTTTCTTGTGACAATTTGTCCTAATGTGTACAAGAGCACAACACAAATTATACTATATATCGTCACATTCTGCATCATATCCCGCGAACTCATATACTCGTCGTTGATCTTCTTTAATTAATAACTCATAGTTTTATGTGGTTGTTTGCAAATAACTAGAGAAATTTTTTGTATAGTTTGATCTAACTTTATCCTGTACACTAAGTGAAACCTTTCTAGGCGAAATAATAAATAATTACGCACTTAAAATTATTAACTACAGAGGCATACGGCGATGAACCTGAACCTATCGTGGGTGGCAACACGGCAACGCGTGGACAATTTCCACATCAAATCTCCATTCGGCAAAATGGCAACCATATTTGCGGAGGAAGTATTATTGGCGATAAATATATCCTCACTGCTGCTCATTGCATATCGTCTCCAAGTATCGCGCGACAATTGGTACGTAGATAAAAGTAGCTAGTAAGAAAAATTTGTCCGATTATTGGTGTTTTTGCTTACATACATATTATAAATATAGCTTATAAAAATTAGAGACGCGATAGTTTTTATTTTTAGCGCCTTTTATCGCCGTTTCATAATTTACTGTGTTATTTTTATTTAATTCAACAAAAATATTCGTTACGCAGACCGTTCTAACCGGAACAAACGACGTACGCGGTGGAGGTGGTAAAGTATACCAAGTCCAGAGCATTAAAGTGCACCCACAATACGATGCGTGGAAGGCACATGCGAACGATATCGCTATACTGACTGTAAGCATAATTTTCAGTTCTCTTAAAGTACGTATGGAAATATAATGTGTACACGACAATCTGGAATATTTTTTTCTCCTAGTTGGTTATACCGATGCACTTCGACAATCTACAACGTCCAATTTCTCTAGCGAGTAAAGATAATGCTGATGGCAAAACTCGTTGTATAGTAAGCGGATGGGGAATGCTCGGCGCAAATGCAGGTATGCCGGCAATGCTTCAATATGTCGAGGTGACCGCGCTAAGCCCTAGTACATGCCAAAAAGAGCATCCAGGCACTACTTTTAAACAGATATGTACCTATGACAGCTATGGAAAAGGTGCATGCATGGTGAGTGTCTTACTTTATCTTATGCATAATGCATCTAAAAATAACTTTTTATACGAATGCGTATCCTCATTGGGAATACGAGTTGTAAGAATTACTAATTAAAAATATACAATTTCTTAGGGTGACAGCGGCGGTCCTCTCATTTGCAACGGTCAACTTGTTGGTATCGTCTCCTGGGGCATTCCCTGTGCTAAAGGTGAACCTGATGTATTCACTAGTGTTTACCATTATCTGGATTGGATTAGACAAAATCTATACTAGTACTGATCATTTCAATAATCGCAGTCGACCGGTGATCTACATTTCTGACATGATCCAGAATTTTCAGTTACAGCGTGTAAAATGCGTTGCTAACGTTATTAATATGTAGAAATAAAAATAATATGCAAGCATAAAGAAAAGAATAAAAAAATGTTATTTCAAATATATAAATTTTGTACATATTTCTCTTTCCGACATAAATTTTTTTATGAGACCAATAATTAATCTAAAGCTGTATACAAAGAAAATTGTTGTAATAAAAATTACAACAAAATTTCTGAAACTATATTTAAAGTATGACTGAAATTATTATATATTTACTTAAAAATATTATACTTTCTAGACACCTCATTACAAAATTGTCGTAATTACTGGAGAGCTTTTGTCATTGCTAAAATAGTCCAAATATTGTCGAAATAAAGAAGAAATATTATAATATGTGTGCAATTACATTTATTATATTTTCATGTCAGAAAGAAATTTTGTAATTTCGTCGTGGATTTGATTGACGGTAACATCGGCTGATTGTGTTCCTATCTTTCCGCGGTTTTCCTATTTCGTCGCAATAGCCAAGCCGTTTTACTCCATCAGCAAGAAAAAACATTTTCCAACAATTATGTTATAATTAACTTGGATAATTATTGATTATAACGGACTCAACTGCGTGACCTCGACCTTGATATGTTATAGAAGTCACCCTTGTGAGTAACCTTCTGAAGGTTTTAGCCGTCGCTCATTGTTTATTAAAAAGTTATGAACAAAAGAAGTTGCATAAAATGAGTGTAATTTTTAGGCACCGTATATACAAAGACATCAAATTTACAGGCTAGGAATATGTCTATCACTGCCCTAAGTAACATTCAAAAGATTTTAACTGGCGCTCATTGTTTGTTAAAAAGTTATTCACAAAAAAAGATACATTAATATCAACACAGAGTATATTAAGTGTAGTATGTAAACGATGTCTGTCCCTAGCCGTGTAACTGGGGGGGCTACGCCCTTCAAATCTCCCGTACCGCGGCGGGGGGGGGGG